TCAGGTGCAATGACATTGGCTATCTTCTCTTAGATATTAGCAAAATGAATTGCTTAAAGATACAAACCAACTTCTTCACAACCTTGAAAAAACTGAACACAATTTAAAAGCCTGATAAGTTCTTAATATATATACATATACTATATATATGTAATATTATATATGTAAAATATATATTAATGTAATATTATATGTGTACAATTTATATATTACATATATATACTCTCCTAGTCAAGATTTGAAATATATTAAGACATTAATTAATATGCCAGTCATCTCATAACTCTGTGCCCTTGTGACCAAACCATCACTCCTTTTCCCTTACTAAGCCTCTGATATAATTTCCCTTGTTTTCTTATTCTAGGACTTCACATAAATGAAACCACACAAAATGTGCCTGTTTTATTTTGCAACACAATGTGTTCAAATTTATTCATGTTGCATGTGTGATGCATGGCTTCTTATTTTTTATTGACAGAGATTGACATACGTTAATGAGCAACAATATGATGTTTTGATTCATGCATATATTGAGTAATGATCAACACAGTATAATTAGCATATCTGTTACCTTAAGCTATGTAAAATGCTTTCATTTATTTGGAAGACAGAGCAAGTGTAACACAAAAAGAGATCTCCCATTCATAGAACTTTCCAAATGCCTGCAAAAACCAAGGCAGTATCCATCAGTCAGGTGCTGTATACCATTCCAGGTATCCCACATGCATAGCAATAGCCAATACTGAATTATCACCTGTTGCCTCCCTTTGTATACCTTTGTGGAAAGCTCGAGTCAGAAGCTAAAGCCAGAAATTAGAACTAGGAACTCCAGTGTGGAATTAGACATCCTCATTGTCATATTAAGCACTCCCTCCGAACAACAAGTCTAATCTGGTAACAGTCCAAATACTCACGTATAGGCAAAATGATTAAACAGATTGTGGCATATTCACACAATGAATTATATAACAATGTGACAATCATTTGTAATTATGTGACAATGTGTCTAGCTTGTCCACTGTGTAGATGCACTTGATCTTAGCATTCAGTAGTTTCATAGAGAACTTTTCTGTGTTTCTTCCTGGTGCCCTTGTTCCTAAACCTATCCCTGAAATGAAAGGAACAAAGGGATAGATGAGTGGCCATATGCATATAGAGAAACACAAGAATTTTATGACTAATTTAAATTTAACAACACTTCACACATCTCTTCAAGAGAAAGTGGAAAAAGGAAGCTTTCCCCTTTTAACGGAAATCTATACAGAGACTATGAAAGCTGATGTAATTGCCCACTTGGCACACTGATCTAAAAGCAGATATGGACTTAAAACCTAACATTTAAATATACTTACATTTCATATATACTTACACTTAAATTTACATGTCTTGCATTTAAATATATTTCTGCATATAGAAAAGTATTAAGTCCACTCAGCAAGTCTAAATATGGCATTGAAGAATACATTATGGTATATGAAGCATCGACTCCATTTTCAAGCTGTGATTGAATGTTGGCACAATTGCAGTGACCAGTTGGCATAACACCTGTTCTCCCTACAGCAAATTTCAATCATTATCTCAGCATTTTCCTAAGGTGCCACTTTGGGCACAAGCTTCTTCCTTTTCTGATAAAGTAGATTTATTTGTAATTTGTATTAGATAAAATTAAACTATTTTCCTATGATGAAATTATATCAGTCCTCAAAAGTCAGCCACAATTCTTGTAAAATGAGAATACAGCTGTAAGGGAAAGTTACTCCTCTGTGTCAATGCCCCGATCAGCTTTAGGATGTAACAGACATTTCTGGAAAGAGGTTGTCACAGGGAATGACAAGATATTACCAGTGGCATTGAATGAATTAGACACAATACAAGAATAGATTTCAAATATTTTGGACTCTAATCCCAGATATTTATTTCACTGAATAGCTCTCACAAAAATATTTCTCATCCTCAGTAATCATATGCTACTTTAAACATTTAATAATGGTATAATAGATCAGAATTCAAATAGTTTATAAAATAATCACATAAAAAGCATGTTGTACACCACAAAATTGCATTAAGAAAATATGCATAAATCTGCTAGTTGTGACCAAGGAGCTTGCCATCAATCACAGGTAAAGGAACCCCCAATAGTCTGGACTGGTCAAGGCAGCAGCACCCAAATGTGCATCCTGAATAGGGTGTGGGGTGGGCTGGGCTGCAATGTTCACCAGCTCATACAAGGCCATATGGAAAGCCAGACTTCACCATAACCTGATCTAAAACCCAATGGCATGTATGAGAACTGGGTCTGGGAGTCGCTCATGTGGAGGAACTTGGGAAACTCCCCATGGCGAGTCATAGCTCCCACTGGTGAACATGTGATCCAGACCTGGGTGTTGGACATGCTGGGCAAACTAGCTCCAACAGCTGGCAAATGTGTTGATTGGTAATGGAATGGGGTGTACTGAGCAGGACAGAGCAAACCTTAGCCCACAAGCAAAACTAGAAACCAGGATGGAGCACAGGTCATGCTGACCTAGGCTCTTGAACCTACTGGTCTACATGAGGCAGGGATGCTAAGCCACAGTGTCTAAGGCAGAGATCGGGACAGGTGAGGGGCTGAGGCAAGCTGAGTCAGAGCAACCACTGGCATGCACGTGATCTATGGCTGGGAACACTCCCGGGTGCAGAGCTAAGAGGACACCCTAGCTAGGTTGAGGTTCCCACCAAGGGGCGCATGGGCTGGAATGAGGGCTGCGTTCTGATCAGGATACAGTTGTAGTCTCTGTTGGCACAGGTGTGGACTGGGACTGGATGCACTGAGCCGGCCCAGACTCCAACGCTGTCTGGTGTTCTGGAGGACCAGGGTAGCTGTGGGACAGACTAGGCAAGGTCTCAACCCCCTACTGAGATAAGTGTGAGCCAGATGTGGGTATGGACGAGCCATGGCTGGGCTGAAACATCCAACAGCAAGGACCAGTTTGGGTTGAAGGCCAGTCAGGAAAAACTACTATTCCGGCTGGGACAGGAGGTGAACTAGTAGGGCTGGCTCGTGGACCTCCTGGTATACACAATCTGGCATTGGGAGAGGTTCTGATGGAGGAGCCTGGGCAACTCCTCTGAAAGGACACAGACCCAGAAGCATGATAGGAAACAGCCCAGAACAAGCCATGGAAAGTTTCTCACTGGCACACATTTGGCATGGCTCAGGGGCAGACCAGGCTGAACCAGTTCATGTAATCCACTGGCAAATCCGAGCACCAGAACAGAGTGTGGGTCAAGCCAGGTTTGGTCACAACAAAAACCAGTGCATAATACGGAATGGCAAGGTGAGGTTGCCTGCCAACCAGCACATGTGAAAACCAGGAAGGGAGGGGGCAGAGCCTGCAGGGGAATAAGGGAGGGTTCCCTTGCTAGACAGCTACTCCCACTAGAGAGCGTGAACTGGGATGGGGGCAGACCAGACAAAGCAGGGATACAACTCCTGTGCGCCTCATGTGGACTAGATCAGGGAAAAGCCAGGCTGGGCTGATTATTCCTACTAGTGCAAACAAAAATTAGAGTGGGTAAGGGTTGCTTGGGTTTAGCCATAGCGCCAGATGGCAGAAGCTGGATTTAGGGGCTAATTCTCACAAGTCAAACCACAGAACCACCTGGAGAATGCATAATCTGGTAGTGAGAGAGGCCTGGGAAGGAAATAGTGGGCTCCTCCCTCCTGGGTTACCACTCTCATGGGAGGGCTCAAAAACTAGGACAAGGGCTGGAGTGGCTAGACAGAGAGGCACCCAACAACATCGGTGAGGGCTGGATAGTTACGTAGGTTAGATGAAACTATGCTTCATTACCCATTGACATATATGAGAGCCGAATGGGATGTGGGACAAACTGGACTACTGTGTAGTCTGCTACACATACTGGCAAACCAGGATAGGGGGCGCACCGCCTAGTGGGGTTATTGTGGGTCGCTCCAACTAGGCTGCAGCTCCCACTGGTTTTTGTGAGCACTGAGTATGCGCTGGGCAGAACCAGGCTGGTCTGCAACACTCATTGGTTCCAGTGGAAGACCGGGATGGAAATAGAACCAACCCAGCAATTGCAACCACCAGCTGATTGGGGCGATGGACTGTGCTGGGCCCTGTACTTGCTAGTACATAAAAGAATCTGGTCTGGGAACACCTCAGACAAAGTTTCTTTGGGAATCTTCCCAATCAACTGCCGGGTTCAGAACCCTAACCAAGAAAAGAGAGAAGATGGAACAGGTCAATCAGCTACCACAGCTATATGTTGGCAGTGAAGAACTGGGCCAGCAGAGACTCTGTAAAGGAGTATGTGAATCAGAGGATTCTTTGGCGACCTCATTGTTCTTGGAGTGGCTAGACTGGCAGCGATTCATAACCACTTGAACAAGAATCTTGGAGCACACCCCACATTAGGGGTGGGTGGGAGACTAGATGGGGCTTCTCCCTCAAAATCCCCCTTTACCTCAGATATATGAAGGAAACAATATGGAAATAATAGTCTTACCCACTTTCCTGTAGCCCTTGGACCTTTTACCCTAATTAACTATGTAAGGATTGTCAAAAATATAATCAAAAAAATTTTTTTAAACTTTTTTTGGAAAAAAAATTTTAAATTTAAAAATCAGGGCAGAGGAAATTTTTTAAAAATCTCATTTTCTTTTCAAAAGTTATGATTATTAAAGATTTGATCTTTGGTTCTAAAAAGGAAAATATGCATAAATCTCCATGTCAATGTAATTAATGCATGTTTACATAATACATGTAAATTGTAAATTTATATACAATTTATATAATGCACATAAATTGTAAATGAAATAATGTCATGAATGTATATCTTATAAAACGTCCCTGTGTTTTCACATGAAAAACTAGTAAAATTAACCAATCGTCAGTTTTATGAAGTTGCTTTGCCTAAGAGTCTCCAATATTCTGCAAAATAATGTCATAATTCCATAGCCTTGCTCCATGAAGAAAGCTCACCAGGCATCTTACCTTTTCTCTATGTCTTCGATGGTGTCAGGAAGTGGAAGCCTAAAGGTCTCTGGGAGTAAGTAGACACATCCTGAAGCTGCTATGGAAAAGATCCCATAAAGAATCATAGGCAGGTGCACAAAGTAACTTTTTGTTGCAAGGACTAGAGCAGAACACGTTCCTGCTAATCTTGAAGAAATCGCAAAAATACTCTGTAGACTCATTCTGCAAAAAGCAAAAACATTTCTTCAAAAAGTTAGGTCCACACCTTTCTTCAAGTTCTGGCTCACGTAAGCTACATCTACTAAATATCAGTTAACATGTCCCATACCATGCATAGTCTCCCTTTTGGACATGATTGTACTCTTTTTCAACGATGTCATAAGGAGTTCCAAGTATGTCTTTTGTTTTACACAGGGTGTCAGCCCACATGCCAGATTCAGTTTTTTTAGTAGTAAAAGGGAGGAAGAAAAGCATGAATTCAAAGACAACACAGCAAACACTATTGGAATTATCTGATCAGTTTTAGATGGCAAATTAAATTTTAATTTCCTCTAATATGTTGTAGATTAAGGAAGCATCTTGAATACTTATTCATTCATTCATTCATGATAAAGATGTTATCTACATGAATTTTAAATTTAAATAGCTGTCCCTCTCATCTATCCTCCCTTCTTTTTGCTCTTCCTCCCTTCAGCAATCCTAAACAATATATGGGAATGCTCATTGTATACCTTAAAATTAATATTTGAAAAGCAATAGAAATGACATAATACTCGAGTAATGAAAATTTTTAGAAACTGAGACTTTTGAAGAAAGATTATTTCAAGAAGTGAAATTATAAAACACAGTGTACTTTCCCAACCATTACAGTCCAACTAAAAGTTAATGTTACCTGAGGACTTAATTTCTCTAGGGAAAAATGTATAACGCAAGCATTTTACAAGGTCAACATTTTCAAAACACATTAAGCTCCCACTTGAAACATTGGCATCCCATATTAGAGTGATTGGTAAAGTCTCTCTCATATACACACAATCATATTTGCTCTCTTGTTCTTACTCTTGGTCATTTTTCTTTCTTTTTAAAGATTTATTTATTTGGGGGATCAACACAGTGGCACAGTGTTTATATTTGCCTTGTGCTTGCACCAGGATCCTATACAAGCCGGCTGCTCCACTTCCCATCCAGCTCCCTGCTTGATCTTGGTGTCTTGAGAAAGCAGTGGAAGATGGGCCAAAGCCTTGGGATCCTGCATCAGCATGGGAGATCAGAAAGAAGCTCCTGGCTCCTGGCTTTGGATCGGCTCAGCTTTGACTGTTGTAGCCACTTGGGGAGTGAATTAGCAGACAGAAGATTTCTATCTATAAAATATATTATATATATATATATATTCTATCTGTAAAATATATATGTTAATATATATATTATATATATATATATATAATTAGAAAGATGGGTTTACAGAGAATAAGAGAGACAAAGACCATTTGCTGGTCCACTCCCCAGGTGACTGCAACGGCTGGAGCTGAGTCAATTCGAAGCTAGGAGGCAGGAGCTGCTCCCTTGTCTCCCATGCAGACGCAGAATCCAAATACCTTTGGTCATCCTCCACTCCTTTCCCAGGCCACAAGCAGGGACAGGAACCACTGCTCATATGTAATCCCAGCACACAAGCAACATGAAGAATTAGCTACTGAGCCATGGTGTGGGACCCCTTCACTCTTGTGTTGTTCTTACTTTCAATCTCCCTTTCAAACCAACATCTTTTAAAAAAATGGACACTTGAAGTGTTTTCTCCTTCTTCTTATGCTTGTTAATACTTCCAAGTTTGCAGGCATTGAGTGGGAGAAAGATTCTCTTTATCAAACCAGCAAATTTACCTGCTCCCTACTAGTACGCCTGGGAAGGCAGTGGAGGATGATCCTGGCAATCGGAGCAGAGCAATCACATGGTGGACTCAGATGAAGCTCCTGACCGCTCACTTAAAACTGATCCTACCCAACCACTGTGGAAATTTGGCAAGTGAATCAACAAGGAGATCTCTCTCTTTCTCTCTCCTTTTCTGTTTGTCTTTCTGCAATTCTGTCTTCTACATTAATGAATAAAATTTTGGTATGAATATATTTAAAATTTTCCAAGGACTATTCAAATGTTTTTTGTTTCTGAAAGTTATTTTGAACATAATATGAAAGTTACTTTTATCTTATTTCTTTAAGTTTCCTGGAAACTTCCAGCAGGATTCCATGTGTCAAATAGGATTATTTACTGCTTCTTTCCTTACCTGTGCGTTGTTGGTATAATTTCATTGCAGAAAGCCATATATATAACTACAAATGATGCAAGAGATGCTTTTATCAGGATAAAAATAATGAAACGCAAAGTGGACATATCTATGAACAAAATTTTGGAAACAAAAATTGAGATTATGTTAAAATTAACTCATACATTTACTTTTGAATGTTTCACGACTACCACTAGGCAATCATCTCGAGTCAAACTTCGTGCAACTAAGTTTCCAACTGAGCAAATGAGAAACAGGTATCTACAATAGGGAGAAAATGATTTAAAATATTGTTAAGACTAGGCCTGGGATACCAAGATGGACTGCAGCACAAAATCAGAAAACAGACAAAAACAATCCAGGGTTTACAAATACTACAATGCTCAATCTGAAGAAACAGTAGGAAGTAGTAAGATCAGAAACAAAGGCATGCTACCAAAGTTGGATATCTGAAACCCAAGTCTAAGAAGAGCCACAGCAGCTGCCAGAAACTCAGCTGGCTCCTGGAGAGAGATATGTTGGCCTTCCTGTCATTCAAAATCTCACTGATCAAATCAAATGAGACAGTTAAAAATTGGGAATGATAAATTTCAGAGATCAGACTCCCTACTGATGAAGAGCAGAACAAAGCAAGAACATGAAATGTGTATGAAGGGGAAAAGTGGTTACAAAGTAGCTACATGGAGAGTGGATATCAAGCTGACCAACAAAGCCCAGCAAATAGCACAAAAGGATCATGTGCTGTTGGAATAGTGGATTAAGATCAATATTTAAGAGGATGTATGTGCTCATGGTACACAAGATCAAAATGTGCAACACATTTCTGCAAGAACAAATATGTATGACAGTTCTTCATTGAAATGGCCAGGTCAGGAGTAGGAAACAGAACAGTGGTTGCCAGGGACTCTGGGCAGTGGAAAATAAGTTCTTTCTTCAAATATATATATGAAATGCAGAGTTACAGAGAGAGACAGGTTGCAGGAGACACACACAGAGATAGATTTTCTAGCCACTCTTTCACTCCCCAGATAGCTGCAACAAACCCTGGAGTTTTCTCTGGGTCTCCCTTGTGCATATTGGTGCCCAAGCACTTGAACTGTCTTCTACTGCTTTCCCAGGCATATTCATAGGGTCAGGATCAGAAGTGGATAAGCTAAGACATTAGCTGGCTCCATGCAGAATATCAGCAACTACAGGCAAGAGTTTTATCTGCTATGCCACGATGCCAACTCATAATACATTTTAATAACTGTTTTATTTCAAGTAAATTAAGTAAATTAAACCTATATTTACTGATTGCTTCATTTCTGTCAAACACATCATATATATATATGATCGTATATATATTCACTTTCGATCCAGCTCCCTGGTAATGTTACTGGGAAAGAAAGGAGGATGGCCCAGGTGCTTGGGCCCCTACATCCACATGGCAGATTACAAAAAGGCTCTGGGCTCCTGGCCTCAGGCCTGCCTACCTTTAGTTGTTGTGCCTATTAGGGGAATGAGCGGATGGAAGACCTTCTTCACTCTCTCTCCCTATCTCTCTCTCTCCCTGTGTAATCTTTCATTAAACAAATCAACCTTTAAAAAAGAAAAAAAGATGCTAATAAAGAGTCTGAATGCCATTTTAATAGTAATAACAGAAAAAATACTAAACATGAAATAAAACACTTGACTTCAAAAATTGCCAGCTACAAAGAAATACAGCAAGTAAGACATAAGAAAATTATGAAACAGAAAAGAAATAATGATCAAAATAAGAAATCATTGTTTGCCAGCAATTATATTAATGTAATAAATCATACTCATCAGTTAGGAATCACAAAGTGGCTGAGTGAACTTAAAAACTAAACAAACAAACAAACAAAAACAAACAGAAAACTTTTCCACACACTGATACGAGAAATTCAGCTACATTTAATGCTGAAATGTTGAACAGCTGTTCCATGCAAATAGCATCCAAAAAAGAACAGTAGTACCTTCACTTTATATGAAAGAAACGACTCATAAAACTGTGACAGGTGGGGCCCGGCGCGGTGGCGCAAGTGGTTAAGTCCTCGCCTAGCACGCCCGGGATCCCATATGGGCGCCGGTTCTAATCCCGGCAGCCCCGCTTCCCTTCCAGCTCCCTGCCTGTGGCCTGGGAAAGCAGTCGAGGACCGCCCAAAGCTTTGGGAACCTGCACCCGCGTGGGAGACCCGGAAGAGGCTCCTGGCTTCGGATCGGCATAGTATCGGCCCGTTGCGCTCACTTGGGGAGTGAATCATCGGACGGAAGATCTTCCTCTCTGTCTCTCCTCTCTGTATATCCGCCTTTCCAATGAAAAAAATAATAAAAATAAATCTTTAAAAAAAAACTGTGACAGGTGAAAAATGTCATCACATAATAATAAAACACTCAACTTAATAGGAATATGCAATAGTTACAACCACATCCACATCTACGATCAAACTCCTAAAATGATATATAAACAATGTACCGATAGATCTGTAGGGTAATATAGTAATACAATAATAGCAGAAGACTTCAATACCTCATTTTCTTTGTTTCTTTTTAAGGTTTATTTATTTTGTAATAAATACAGAGAAAGGGAGAGAAAATGGGAGAGTGAGTGGCTGGGGGGAGAGAGAGAAAGGAAGAGAGAGAGAGAGAAAAAGAAAGAAATATTTCATTTGCTGATTCGTTCCCCAAATAGCTGCAACAGCTGCAGCTGGGGCAGACTGACACCAGGAGCCAAGAGCTTCTTTTGGGTCCTACATGTGTGGCTGTGTCCAGGCAACTTGGTCCCTGCTGCTTTTTCAGACCATTAGTAGGTAGCTGGATCCGAAGTAGAGCAGCAAGCTCTCTACATATGGGCATGAAACGGTGACCATACTGGATACCAGTGCCACAGACTGAATTTTTCTCCACGTAACGCATGATGTCAGCTTCTGACTTTTAATATTAGATATATCACCCAGACTGAAATCAATAAAGAAGTAGGATTTTTAACCAGGTTCAGAGATTAAATGGATGTGGCAGGCACATAAAACAATTATACCCCACAGCAACAGAAAACATTATTTTTGCAGTAGTCATGGATATTCCTTAGTATAGAGACATTCTATCTCACAAATTCAGTTCATGAATTTAAAATGATTGAAATTATTCCAAATATTTTATCCAACCACAGGAAAATTAAAGTAGAGATGAGTACCAAAAGACAATCAGAAACAAAAACTTGGGCCCGGCGCGGTGGCGCAAGTGGTTAAAGGTCCTCGCCTTGCACGCCCGGGATCCCATATGGGTGCCGGTTCTAATCCCGGCAGCCCCGCTTCCATTCCAGCTCCCTGCCTGTGGCCTGGGAAAGCAGTCGAGGACCGCCCAAAGCTTTGGGAACCTGCACCCGCGTGGGAGACCCGGAAGAGGCTCCTGGCTTCGGATCGGCATAGCATCGACCCGTTGCGCTCACTTGGGGAGTGAATCATCGGACGGAAGATCTTCCTCTCTGTCTCTCCTCTCTGTATATCCGCCTTTCCAATGAAAAAATAATAAAAATAAATCTTTAAAAAGAAACAAAAACTTACAAATTTGTACAAATGGAATAATTCTAACACGGTGGACTAAAGAAGAACTTAAAAAGCAAATTAGAAAAAGTTTCAAGAGAAAGAAAAATACAAACACAACCTAATAAGGCTCATGAAACACAGCAAAACTGGTACAACAGAAAAGCCCATGGCAATGAAGAGCATGATTTCAAATAAATAAACTTTACAGCTCAAGAAATTAGAAAAAACATTCCACCCAGATTTATCAGAGCAAAGAAAGTATGTACAGAACAAAGTTAGTACAACAAAGGTCAAACGCAAAAACCCACAGCTAACATCTTGCTCTGCTACAACAAACTGCAAGATTTTCCTTTGTTATCTGGAACAGAGTGAGGATATTTTGCTGTCTGTACTTTTATACTAAAGGGTACCACACTTTTGAGCCAGAGATATTTGGGGAGAAAGAAATAAAAACACTCACAGAAAAGAATGAAGTTAAATCGTTTCCATTGGAAGATCACATGCCCTAAAAACCTAAACACTCCACACAAGTAAATAGCAACTATTTGAACAACAACAAAAAAATCTATAAACCTGTAGAACACAAAATCAACATAAAAGATTAGGTTTCTATATGCCAATAATAAACTACCTAAAAAGAACATACAATAACAGCAAAAGAACAAAATACCTTAGAACAAATCTAACCAAGGAGATGAATGCCTTTTATACTGTGAACTCCAAACACTGACAAAACAAAATTAAAGGAGACACAGTAATAACTGAAAGACAACCTGAGCTCATGGCTGTGAGAATTAATATTGTTAAGATGTCCATTCTCCTTAAAACAATGTAGAGTTCCATTACAATCCCTACCAAAATCCCAAACAGATTTTATGCAAAAAAGTAAAATCATGTGAAATCACAGAAAATACTGAGAAATAAAAATAATTTTGAGCAAGTAAGATACCTCATGTCTCTTGATTTGAAAACATACTGTAAAGCTACAGTGGTCAAAATAATGAAGTACTGGCATAACTGCATGCCTAGAGACCAATGAAATAGATTATAGAATCTAGAAATAAATCCATACATTAACAGTAAACTGATCTTTGGCAAGAATGTAAAAAAAAATATTGGTTTCAAGTCTACCTTCTGTATAAAGGGCATTGGGAAAACTCTGTATTTACATACAAAAAAAAAGAGAGAGAGAGAGAGAGACTGGACCCTTATCTTATACTGTATTTTAAAAATCAATTAAACCCATTAGCATCTTAAACATAAGAATTTGCTTCACCAGCTAGCCACTCTGTAATATGACCATATTGTTATTTTGAGAGTAGAAACATGACCGTGTGTGTGTGTGTGTGTGTGTGTGTGTGTGTGGAGAAACTTCAGTGAAATATTAACTGAAGAGGAAGTGAAATATTTTCTAACCAAGTGTCCAACTATTCCTCACCACCTCGAAATTTAGTTCCTATAATTTGTTTTCAAAGTATCTTTCACTCAGATGTTCTCTTTCCATTGTCTTGTACAACTTGTTTTCCTTTCTTTGTCAATGCATTCCCATTAATTTGTAATGACTACACTCAAGCGCTGTCTGCAGAGCTCCTAAAATGTCACAGTTCTAATTAACACCTTTCGCCATGATGCATTGGTGCCAAACATGTACTGCCACTGCATGGGTTTCCAGATATAACACATCTGTTTTTAGCCTGGCTTTGGACTACTTGATAAATGATATTTTAAACATTTATCTTTCTGATTACTGATTCAACAAAGTCATAAATGTGTAGTGAGACTAGGCAGCACATGACAGTAAAAGCACCTAGATGCTAGACTACAGTGTTTTCAGCATTATTGACGTATGAATTACAGCCAATTTGGAAAATCAATGATTACAGAAATATGCATTTCTTATCAGATTTCAGACACTGAAAAAAAAATCCCACCTTTGGACACAAATATGTTGACTATAATCCCAACTCCAGACACAAGAAACAAAAAAGCTATTGAAGGACGACGACCAACATGTCTTAGCAAAAACAATGTAAGAAATCTGGCAGGCACATCAGTCATCCCAAGTAGAAACTGAGACAGGAATAAGTCCTCCCCCAAGTTCTTAATGTCCAACATGATGCCATATGTACTGAAAAATGCCGAAAACCTGGGAAAGACAATACAAAGCCATTCGATAAACCCAACTGACAGAATGTTTTAATATAGTTTACATGTATTTCTAACTTTTTATTTCCCTTGGACATATAATTAGTACCAAAATGTTTGATTATCAGATGAAATAAAAGGATTCATGACACAATGTAAAGTTACTTAGAAAAACTTGAAAATATCAATAATGGGGGGAACATCCATAATCATGTAATGGGGGATTACATACATAAATTTACCAAAACTGATATACAGTTCATCACAATTCATACAACTGCTCTTTTCCACAAATTTATAGTAAATAGTCATAATTGCCTAGATTTTGTTATGTTTTGAAAACATCAAGGCTTAAAATCGTGTTGTAATTAAAAAACATTTACTATCATGCAAAATGTAACTTCTGTGATTTGAGTTAAGATTCCAGTAAATGTTTCATTTGCCAATACAGAGGTCCACTAGAATCAATAAGACAGAATAATACAGTCATACATGAGCGATGTGTATAGAAGCGTAACTTTATATTTGTGGTAAGGGAGGCAGCTGGTTCAGGGTCATGGGCTTGGAAGCCACTCCCCCACCACCACCCAGGTGCCCTCTCCTACCCGCCTGTGAGCTCTTTACTGTATTCAGAAACTGAATACAAGGATCATTTTTTAAACCTATGTGTGTTTGTGTGTGTTTATGTATTCAAACCTGTATATATGAAGATGCAGGTACAGACACATGCATGTATTCATTAGACATTACATATTGAATAATATATAGTGATTTCTGTATTTGTTTTCTAGACATAGAATCTTGGCCTCAGTGCACAAATTACCAGCTTCATTCTAGCACCCACAATAATTACATGTTTCTTTAGGTAGGAAAGTCATGTAACTTCTCTTACACTCTTGCACATTCTAAATTGAGCTAGAAATAAATTTTACATAAACAAGTGATAATTTTAATTTCTATTGTCTTGTATACATATATTAATCATTGTCATTTCTTGAAGAACAGTATTCAGGTTTTCCGTGTAGCTGAGCAATTTTATGGAGAATTGCACGTTTAAAAATATTGGAGAGCAACGAGAGATAATTGTCCAATAATACATAGTCAAACTTTTGTAAAACTTGAGTATGTGTACATGTAATTCAAAATATTATACTCCGTATCCTTATAAAATATTGCTACATATTTGTTAATTTTCCAGAAAATAATCTTTCTTTTCTCCATTTAATGGAATCTTGTTACAATCCAGTTTTACCCTTTGAGACTTTCTTTCCTCCAGTTCCTGTAAATCATAACCATCTTCAGTAACCCATTCCCCAAATCTGAATCCAAACGGATATTTTTAATCTTTAATCCTGACTACTTGTCTTTGTACTTTTATGCCTGACAATTTGAACAAAAAAAGAGTAAAAAGCTATCCCCTTAGAACAACGGTCCTCACATTGCTTAGCGTGACACTGAAGCCGTTGAATAGGTGTTAAAAGATGAAAAGGCAGGCTACTTACCCCAGAAAGGATCCAAAGAGCAATGTCCTACACACGGTAGGGTTAAAAATGACCTCTTTCATTTTTAAATGATTTTTCTTTATATTCAGTTCTTCCTTCATTTTCAGTGTCAAAATCTTCAAAGACAATGAGTAAAAAATCATTTAGACTGTGTAGAAGGAATCTTAATTTCCAAAAATTATTTTTTTTACTCCCTCATACACCAATACTCTTGATTGGAATCATGCAATAAAAGAGTTATCTCCCATAACCACGTTGGTATGCATATTTAAAGTGTCTAATAAAGAGTAAAGTAATTAAACCATTAAACAAAATCAATGCATGAATAGGTAACACTATATGCTCCAAGCCTTGTAACACAGACTTATAAGGGACATAAAAATCGTATAGAAATCCTTTTCTGGACCTGGCACAATAACACAGCGGTTAATGTCCTTACCTTGAGCTTGCCGGGATCCCATATGAGCACCGGTTCTGATCCTGGCAGCTCCACTTTCCATCCAGCTCCCTGCTTGTAGCCTGGGAAAGCAGTCCAGGACAGCCCAAAGCCTTGGGACCCTGCACCCTCATGGGAGACCTGGAAAGAAGTTCCTGGCTCCTGGTTCTGGATTGGCACAGCACTGACCATTGCGGCCACTTGGGGAGTAAATCATCCAAAGGAAGATCTTGTTCTCTGTACATATTACTTTCCAATAAAAATAAATAAATCTTTTAAAAAAAAGAATCCTCTTCCAGTGCTCCTGATATTATAAAATTATCTGCTGCTCATTGGAAATCTCTGATGTACTCTTGTGCAACACTGAAATACCTTGTTAATTGACATTTCTTACCAAAACTCAGCTCGTCATAAAATCAACAGCAAACTGTCTCCAAGAACCTCTCATGACATTCATCACACTGGTGGTGAGGCCTCCCACATTTACTAAAGTACTGGAAGTATTCCAAATAGCTTTTTCTATTATAATTTCTGATTTATCATGTGAGTTTTAAATGTCCATGACTTTTTATTAAAGATTTACTTTATTTTGATTGGAAAGGCAGATATGCAGAGAGGAGGAAAGACAGAGAGGAAGATCTTCCATCCGATGATTCACTCCCCAAGTGACTACAATGGTCAGTGCTGCATCTATCCTAAGCCAGGAGCTCTTCTGGGTCTCCCACACTGGTGCAGGGTCCCAAGGCTTTGGGCCGTCCTGGACTGCTTTCCCAGGCCACAAGCAGGGAGCTGGATGGGAAGTGGAACTACCAAGATTAGAACCGGCGCCCATATGGGATCCTAACGCTTTTAAGGCAAGGACTTTAGTCACTAGGCCACTGCACTAGACCTTATCTCTATTACTTTTTAAGGGATTTATTAAAACTTTAGATTCTCAGAGTCAATGCATGGTAATTACTATGACACAATCTTCATTCTTGTGCTAATGTGATATTAATACAAGGAGAATCAGTTCAATATAATTCACAGATATAATTCTAAAAGTGTAATGATACGTCTCTTTTTATCTTCCTCTTCTCTCCCTCTCTTTTTCTTCATTCTTTACCTCCTTTCTTTCTTGACTTTTATATTTGTATTATACAAATTTTTCATTTGCATTCTAGTCAAAGCTGTAATGCCTCAGTAGACATTTTAACAGGGAAAAAGAACTTAGATCAGTTTAAAATTTGATTTACATAATCAAATTCTGTAAACATAGCATTTTATCTTAATATATAATTGTGTACATTTCATTTAATTTGTTTTGCCAAAAGAACTTCAAAATGCCTGCTCTAACACTAGAATTAAAAGATAATTTATTTCAGTGTTGAAAATTTTTGAAATCTGGACACAATGTATGTTACATAATATGTATTTCCTATAAATGCTTTGAAGACTTTTCAAATATACCCTTTAAAAATTAAAATATTCTAGCATAATCATAAATCCTAGTAGTTATACTTATTTTGCAATAATCTTCCCATAGACAGAGACAGCATACACTAAAGCCACTTTGGATTTTAACACATTATCAGAATCACATTGAATCATTTTCCCACTGATCTATTGTACGTTGTGTGAGAAAACTGAACAAGTTCCTTACACATTTCTTTTCGCCTTAATTAGAATAATGATTGCAATCAACTTAACATTCACATAATCTGTCAGGACAGGCACAACTGGTGAATCACAAGGCAATGCTTAGCTTAGTACAGACAGGAGTGTTGAGAAAGCTGAAATAAGAAAATTCCATGACTTTTTTTTTGTTTGTTTGATTATACTTTTCAAGGAATTTACAAAGTTTTGGTTACCTTATAGACTGTCTGAACACTACCTTTGAAGTTTGTTGAGATGGTAGCCTATATGCTTCAAAGGGACCCAGGCCATTTCAGATACATAGTTTACTTGTCTATTTCTGCTGTAATTTGGTGGTAAAGGCAGAAATGTTAACATCTTTTAGAGCAAGCCACCCTCAGAGGTGTCATGTTGGAAGTTTGTCAATGCTTGTACTGACTGCAAGAAATCAGAGTGGTTGTGCAGCCGTGACTCGGCATTGCCCTCAATGCCCAGTGAAATGCCCCTAGAGTGGACTTTGAAAATCCCTGTGTCATTTCCCTAGTCAATTATTTGTCAGTTCCAGAAACAATCTTAAAATCATTTTCAAACCTGCACTCACCTTAGGGCCTGTGTCCCGAAAGAGGAGTTTCCCAAGCTCCTCCATCAGAACCTCTCTCTATGCCAGACCTTGCATGTACCGGTGGTGGGCCAGCCCTCCTTGCTGGCCTTCAATCCATTCCAGTTCTAACTGTTGGATGCTTCAGTTTAGCCAAGGCTTGTCCACACCCAGACACTAGTCCTTACAGGTGAGCGCAGGAGCCACAATAGGGAGCAACCCAGACCAGGCAAAGAGAAAGATACCCATCAGCATATGGCATAGGCGGGGTCAGACCAGGTTGAACCCGTTCACGTCACCCGCTGGCGAATCCAAGCACCAGAAAAGAGAGTGGGTCGGGCCAGGTTCGGTGGTGATACAAACCAGTGCACATTACAGAATGCCAAGATTGGGTGAACTGTACCAGATGTGGTAGCAGCGCCCAAACAGCACACATGAGAATCAGGTGGGGAGGGGGCTAAACCGGCAGGGGGAATGTGGGCTCCCCTGCTGGACAACCACTCCCATTGGAAAGCATGAGTTGGGATGGGGGCAGACCAGACCAGGAGGGTCTATAACACCTGTGGGTCTCATGTGGACTAGATCAGGGAAAGGCCAGGTTGGGCTGACAGTTCCGACTGGTACAAGCAAAAATTAGAGTGGGTGAGGGTTGGTTGGGCTTTGCCACATAATCAGATGGCAGAGCCTATCACTGAGGGCTTAATCTGTCAAATTAAACTCCAGAAAAACCTGTAGAGTAAATAATCTGGGAGTGGGAGTGACCTGGCAGGGAGGTAGTGGGCACCTCCCTCGTGGGTAACCACTCCCACTGTAGAGCACAAAAACCAGGACAGGGGCAGGGGTGACTAGACAGAGATACCTGCCAATATGTGTGTGGGCTGGATAGTAGGGCAGGTTGGCTTGCACTAGGCTTCAATGCCCTTTGACATGTTCGAGAGCTAAATGGGATGTGGGACAGACTGAACAAGCCTGTGGTACATACTGGTATGCATGGGAACCAGCGTAAGGGCCAGGCCTAGTAAGAGTAATGGGGAGTCGCCCCAATTAGGCTGCAGTTCCCACTCATTTTTGTGAGAACCAAGTATGAAGTGGGTAGGATTGAGCTGGTTTACAACACCCATCAGTTCGCGTGGAAGACAGAGCTGGAAACAGAACTGATCCAGCAGTTGCAATGACCACATGTGCATAAGCTGATTGGAGTGATGGATGGTGTCGGACCCTATGCTGGCAAGCACACAGCAAAATCAGGTCTGAGATCATCTCAGACGAAGTTTCTTTGGAGATCCTCTAACTGAACTGCTGATCTCAGAACTCCAACCATGAAGAGACTATGTCAGCCAGTGGATTCTGAACAGATTTCATTGTGCTTGATACAGCGAGATTGGCAGCAATTTAGAACTGTTGAACTATCAAAACTGCTTGTGCAGGACCCTGGGAGCATGCCTCACTTCCGGGACCTGGGATGGTTGGGAGGCTGGGTGGGGCTTTTCCCTTTGTTTCTCTCCTTTCCCCAGATACAGGAAAAAAGTGATATTATTGTGGAAACAATGGTATTACCCACTTTCCTGTAACCCTTGACACTTTGTACCCTAATCAACCAAGTAAGATCATTTTTTTTTTAAAAAAAAAGGCATTTCAAAAAGTTCATACAAATATCATGGAAGAAAAATATGCAGGGATTTAAAAACAAGTTTGTATCAAAGCAAAATGCTTGGATTTCATTTTTCCTCACACTTTTTGTCTCACCGGTTGATCCAAGTGACTGGCACACTTCAGATATCTGTTCAAATAAATTCATAAATCCTTAAAAAAATAAATGTCATGGATTGAAAAAAAATGTTTTTCAAATCTGCAAATAGCAAGTATACACAGAAGGTGCTGATAACAATAGTGAATCTTCCCTGACTTCTTATCCTTCTTGGCTCCGTACATCAATAACTTTACTTGTTCTTGTGGTGATTGTATAGCACTCAGGACTGGGGTGATAAATGATTGTGATCTTTCCTTACCTCAGCCGTCAAACTTTGTGCCACATCTTTTTTTCCATTCATATAGGCAATTCTCTTAAGTTCTTTTAAGGCCTGTTCTGTTCTTCCTGTTGCGATGAGCCAACGCACGGACTCTGAGACCATGCTGTTTGGAAGGGAATAGATAGTTTCAGAAGGAATATTTCACATTCCAGTCTGGAGAGATGCTTTCATTTTTACAGAAATGAATTATCTTTGCAGCTTACATTGTCCCTCCTGCTTACACAGAGCTCATCTGGATTGTTCAATCAGCCCTCTGCCCACTCTAATCTTTACCTATTCAGTGCTCTTCATCTTGGGATACATTTTATTTTGATTCGCAAGTAAATAAAAAAACAATTTCCCTTTTCAAAAGTAGGACACAATTTTCCTTTTTTTCAGTTTTATTTCAGAAATCATTGCCGTCTACATGTGTGACTACAATGGAAATTCACAATTTTTAAAGATACACCTTTGTTATCAGAAGTTTGAAGTATAACCAGAGTTTTATATTGTTAACTTTGATCAACATCCACCATTTTATTTCTGAAAAGACTAATTAAAGTTTCTGAACACTGCATCAAGTACTTTGGAAGTGAAAGACTATTTTTTTTTTCATAAACAGAAATCAGAAAAGAAACCATTTTATTCAGGTACATTTTCTGGAAATAATCCTAACAACCAAGAGGATAAAAAAAAAACAGATGAAATGAAAATTTAAATAGGAATTTTAAAATTTTATATTAACTTATGTTTATTTACTTAAAGGTCAGTGAAATGGAGAAACTGCAATGGACCAAGGACATTCATTCACCTGCAGTTTACTCCCCAGAATTTAATCAGGAGCTGCAAAGTATGTGACAGGAACCCAGTAACTTGAGTCAGCAATCACAAGCCACCAGCTGACAGCATTTTATAAAATTTACTACTGAGCTCCTCTTGTTAAAATTAAGTTTTGATTTTTAAATTTCTTTTTTTTTCCAGCATTACACTTAGAAATAGCTCTGAATGCAGGAATAAGTAGTAAAATAGTTCTCAGTGGTAAGAAACAAACCCTCAAGAATCACAAATATTTAAGCAAAATGGTTTTATATTTAACCAAGTCCACATACCACAAAAAGAGAGCGAGAATGAGGAAAGGCACGGATATTGCCAGCTGGAGCATGTGCCAGTCGCGGATAGCATAAGCTATTACTCCAAGCGATGCCTGCCCCAGACTAAAACAGATTCCATAGGCCATGAGAATTGTGGAGTGCCATTTGGATGATGTCTCTTCTATAACTAAAGGGAATCAAGGATATTCAAAATCATTGAAGAAAAAGGACGGTAAAAACTCAAGCACAACGTATATGTAGATACCAAAATAAACTTACGGAGCACGATGCAATTTGCTTGAAGTGAACCCAAGCAGGCAGAAAACAGAAACCTCAAAACACAGTAAACGGAAAACACGGGGGCAAATGCACAGCAGGTGCCCAAGATGCCACACATCACGCAACAAAAGAGCAGCAGTGGCTTCCGTCCAAATCTATGATCATAGCAGGTAACTCAGTGAAAATTACATCGACACACTGTAAATGATTAGAACCTCCAGATTCCTAGAATTTCTACTTCCTTTTTTCCACCTGCACATTACACAAGAGTGACACCACAAATGCCCATAAAGCACCTATCTTTAAGTCACTTCCATGGCTTTCCATGTAGCAGAATTTACACATGATGTTTGCAAATCATTAAAATGATAGCTTTGTGAAAAGATAAAACACATGAAATTGCAAGAGGTAGTATATGTCATCCCACTCAAGGTTATAAAATAATCATTAAATTGACAATCTGCCATGATGCACAGATACATCATGGATCTTGGTCACACAAGCATCTACTAAAGCCATGTTAGCCTACTTATCAAGTAAGTTGTGTGTAGAATTTCGTGTCATTATTTTTTTTCATGTCATTATTTTATCAGTTTTCAATCTAAACATCAGCGAACTTACTAAGGCAAAAGGGGAAGACTATTCAGTTCTTTCTGATGATTAATGTTAGTTTTCCAAATTTGACTCACAGAAGAAGTTTAACAGAAAATCCATGGCATAAAATTGGTGATGTCAAAGCCAATAATAGAATTTCATCCTTGAACGAGCTATCCTATCAGCAAACTTCTCATAAAACAACAGAATTCATGTTTGCACATAAGAGCGAATCTTTTCATTGTCTTTGACCTCTTCTCAAGCCCCAAATACAGTTATCATATTCTGGTTATTGTTACTAAAAACAAAGTAGAACAGTATATGTGTTCATTCTGAATGTAATCTTTGCTAAATAGTTTGTATTGTTATATGTAATTAACGTAGCTGAAAACAAAATGCAAATAATTATACGTTAATATTTTCCTCTTACAGAAAAAAGTGATCAAATATAAGTGGTGCATAAGAACCAGGCCAAGGCTGTTCAGCAATATTTCATAGCAAGTCCTACTCCTTTTGGATCCAAGTCCCAACACTTGTCATGATATACAACGGAAGTGCATATGAATTTGACATCCCATCCAACTTCCTACGTGTAATGTTAAGATCCAAGAAAGTTACTATTGTCAAACTTATTTGAGTTTCTTAACCTACTGAAACTCAAAGAATTGCTGATTCTGGTTCCACTGAATTAGTTCCACCAAGGTGGCATTCTTAGTTGCATCTTGCTACTTAAACAGTTATATGATTTACTAATTTGATTATTTTCTTCTTTATTAAGAGTCATAATATTAATTCCAATCTTCCTAGTTTAATTTTCTCTATCTGCCCACTTTTTAAAGACAGTGCCTCAGTAGTCTGACAAGTTTCTGCAGCTGTTTTTCAGTCTATCCACAAGAAACTAATTTAAGACCATCATGTATATTTTATAAAGATCAAATATATATACAGATTTTCATATGATCACATTATTTTTACTATCAACTTTGAAAGTATAAGGATTTAACTCTCAAACAACCTTAGCTTAGTTTTTTGGAGAAGATTTATTTATTTTTATTGGAAAATCAGATTTACAGAGAGGAGAGAAAGATCTTCACTCCTCTGGTTCACTCCTCAGGTGGCTGCAACAGCTAGAGCTGAGCAGATCCAAAGCCAGGTGCCAGGAGCTTCTTCCAGGTCTCCCATGAGGATGTAGGATCCAAAGACTTTGGGCTGTCCTCTACTGCTTTCCCAGACCACACACAGGGAGATGGAAGGGAAGTGGAGCAGCCACAACACAAACAGGTGCCCACACAGGATCCCAGTAGTTGCAAGATGATGACTTTAGCCACTAGGCTACCATACCGGGGCCTTTAGCCTAACTTTTCCTAATTACCTCAGTGAGGCTTTTCCATTCATGTTTGTTACTATTCATTTCTTAAGCATTTTTGTCTATACATTTAAATTTTTTTTTTCCATTGTAAAGTCAGATATACAAAGAGAAGAGACGGAGAGAAAGATCTTCCATCCGATGATTCACTGCCCAAGCAGCCACAATGAACAGAGCTGTGCTGATCTGAAACCAGGAGCCCAGAGACTCTTCTGGGTCTCCCACATGGATACAGGATCCCAAGGCTTTGGATAGTCCTCCCCTGCTACTCCAGGCTGTAAGCTGGGAGCTGGATGGAAAGTGGGGCCACTTGGACCAGGACCAGTGCCTAGATATGATCCTGATGTGTGCAAGGCTAGGACTTCCGTTGCTAGGCTATCACAGCACGGCCTATACACTTTTTCATCCTGCTTTCCTACCTGATCGTTCTCAGCTTAAGTTTCAGCCTTTTCAGAAGCCCAGATGGTGACCTTCAGGTGTCCCAAGTTTTGCATTTTCTCAAATAGTACTCCCCTCTAATTTGGCTGCTGTCCTCTTTACATGGACATGCCTTTAATGTGTACAATACTCAGCATAAATGTCTAAAAATGTTAGACATGATTCTTGAGCAGAAGGCAAAACTTGATCCTGCGCAGGTATGCACAGCTGAATACACTGCCTCCCTGGAGGGGAAGGACAACCCTATCCTGGAAGGTATTGTGTGTGTGTGTGTGTGTGTGTGTGTGTGTGTGTGTGTGTGTGTGTGTGTGTGTGTTTTAACACACAGGGTGCCTGTAGCCGGGCTGTGTGGCTCCTCTCTGAAGGGCTTAGGTGGGGCCCAGCCAAAGGCACTCAGTGAAGCCCATTGGGCAATCTGGCAGTGTATCCTCATGGTTCAAAGGGTCTTGATTTACAGGGGAATAACAGGATCTCACAGGTGATAGTGGGAGAGGAGCTGTGGTTTTTATACCCAGGTTAGGAATTACAGCTGAGGGACTTCCACAGACAAGTCCGTGACATGGGTATGTAAGTAGAGGACTAACAACAAATTGGTTTGGGTGGGGGAGAATAAGAGTGAGAGAAGTGGGTCAGACAGCAGAATCTATGGGGGAAATGTGGGCTCATCCCTGCAGAACTGCAACTTCTACTGGCTCGCCCAAGAACTTCAGTGGGGTCAGGCCTCGCTGGTGAGCTAAGTGAGCAACCCAGCTGGAATTGGGGTTCCCACTGGTGAAGAAGAGAGTAGGATTGAGGACAGCATGCTTGGCTGGACATGGTTGCAGCCTGCACCAGCACAGGTATGCACTGGGACTGTGGAGTATCAGATTGGGCTAGACTCCAGCCCCCACTGGTACGCGTGACAGCCAGGTTGGGTGTAGAACAGGCCAGGCTATGTCTTTACTCCCGATGAACTATGTGAAATCTGTGTCTGGGTGCAGAACAGGTATTCTTGGGCTACAACAACCGACAAGAACCAGAATGGGAGTGGCTGGTTGAGCAAAGTTACTATTCTTGCCAGGGCAGGAAGTGAACAAAGTCAACCTGGGCCAATGATCCACTGGTGTGTGTGAGAATTGTCACTGGGAGGAGACTCCATGGAGGAGCTCAGGAAGCTCCTTCACTTGGTTGCAGTCCCTGCAGGTGAGGGCAAGGAAACAAGGCAAGCAGCAGCCTAGATAATGCCTGGTGACAATACCTGCCAGCATACATTTGGGTCAAGTCTGGGGACAGACCAGTCTGAGCAAGCACATAACACCCACTGGCAGATCTGAGAACCAGGTCAGGAGCAGGAAGAGCCAGATCAGGCTTCAACACCAGCCAGTTCACATTAGGACCAAGACAACAATCAGTCTGGTCTGAAGCACCCACCAGTAGGACCTGGAACAGGGCCAACTAGACTACGGCAGGCTGTACAATAAGATTGCAGATGCTGAGGTGTGGCAAGTCATGCCAGCCAGGGCCCAGCAGGGGCCAGGTACACAAGTCCCAGAGACGGGAGATCTGACAGGGCTCAGGTAGCTTGGCTCAAGTCCTGGGATCCACTTACATGGTGGGGCCGAGTTCCTGAACCCCCAGGATGAGGGAAGCGGTGGGGCTTGGATCACTGGCCCATATTCTGGGGCCTGCCTTTTAGGCGGATGTCAGGTTCATGAACCCCAGGCTGGGGGATCCAGAGGGCCTGGAGTCACCTGGCCTGGGTCCTTGGACTCAACTACAAGAGCATGTCCTACTTAATGGAAAAGATGGAGCAGTGGACACAAGCCCTGTTGTAAAATGAGCATATGGCAGCTCATTTGGTGCTGTAGCAGGAGAACAGAACTAACTGGACAACTACCCCAAACAATGACAGCAAAAACACTCAGCAAATGGAGCCAATGAACATTGGGAAGCTGACATCATCCTCGGATTTGGTGAAATTGGCGGCATTTCAGAACTATCCAAACCATTTGGACAGAATCCTTGGAATCTGTACACATTGAGACTCTGTGTTGATGCGAGGTTCCTCATCCCCGGGTCCTGGGACGTGTGGCAAGTCATGAGTTGTTTCCTCCTTGTTGCTCCCCTTCCCCCAGAAACAACCAGAAGAAACAGTAAATCTGAAAGCAATGAGCACACCCAATTTTTCCTAAACCTCAATCCTTCCCACCCTGCTCCAGCATGTAATCACCATAAAATATAAAATTTATATTTAAAAAGGAAGACAAAACTTACCTGTCACAAAGCATGTTAAATAGAGGAGTACCCACCACATACCCTGCCATGTAGATGGCCTGGGCAAAGGTTTTGAATGACTGAAATTTGCACACTAAATTCCACTGTAAAAGATCGGACAGAAAACAACACAACGTAAAATATTAATACATCACTCAAGACAATGCCATAAATATAACTCATGAGTAGGTTAAATTGTGTAACTAGTTGGTAAAATGAGAAAAAAATGCATAAAAATGACTTACCAATATTGACAAAAGCTGTAATTCAGACACCAGAGTGAAAAGAATAAAGAGTAATCCTATCTTTAATAAAGAGGAAGTTCTCCATAGGAATAGAATGTAGTAAGAACATACTAATAAACATCTCAGCGGATATGCTGTGCAGTATCGTTGTATCTCACTGTACGAGTGACTCTTTCACCACACAGTGCAGAGCTTCAGTCTCCACCTTTGAATTCTTAGCTATTATAAAAACAGTACTTCAAACACAAATGTATAAATCAAAAGAAATTTGATTTTCTCCGTGTCTAAATTTTCCAAGATTTTTGTCAGATACATTCTGTTTCTTAGTCAATAGGCATCTAAGAAGAAAAGCTCTTTAACAAGTCACCTGAATTGGGAAGGGAATACAGCTAGATCAAAAGGGCTTTTCTTTAAATCGGGGAATACACACCAAGCCAACACAGAGGCAAAGTATAGGATAACTTTACTAGGAGAGGTGGTAATGTAGATGACGAAGAAGGACTCCCCAACTCAAAAGACAAAAGAAAGTGGGAGGTACGGGAAATTAGAACTCAGAATTGGTCCTTGGATAAGATACCTCATAAGCACCATTACGGATGCTTTTACACCTTTCTAAAAGCTGTGGAATCCCATTCAGGATTTTTGAGCAAACAACATTCCTACACTCATTTTCCTGAAAGGTCGTTATGGCAAGAGGGAGGAAATGAGGAGTCTGCCAGGAACTTGAGAGGAGAGACTTTGCCATTGGGCATTGCAGGGCACGGTTGAAGACAAGGAAATGAAGCGTCTTCATGAAAAGTTGAAAATGAAAAGTGAGCAGAGCTGCGTATGTAATAAGTCTCACAATGACACCAGCGTGTTGGACCCACACATTTGCAGTGGGAGGAGCAGAATTTGTGCCATAGAAAGCTGCACAAGGTTAGTGCTGACAGCATTCTTTAAAATCCCTCACTTCTAGAAAGTACTATGGAATTTCTTCTTCTGAGGAAGGAGGTTATAAATCCAGCACCTTTTGTTTTTTTCAATTGAAAAACAAATGTTCTGAAACCATAGAGATTTTACCTAAGTTACTAATGAACAAAGTTTAACCTACCTTGAACTCATTTTAGGTCAGACAAATCCTGATTTAAACCACTGTTTCATTTAATCTGTTAATCACTCACATTGGCCAGGGTGATACATTTAACTGATTAAATATTTAAAATCAGAATAAAATAGCATTCCAATTTTCACCTCTTGGAGTGTCATATCCATTATGTTATCTTTTATAATATGAAATGACTTCAGCAGATTATTGTTTATAGGCATTGCTTTTATTCTTCTTTGAACTAAGTTCTTTATGAAGTAGTCATTTATTTTTATTTCAAAGGCAAATTCCTTCATAGAAAAGGGGAGACACACAGAGAGATTTTTGCATCTGATGATTTACTCCCTAAATAACCGAAATAGCCAGAGTAGGGCCAGTCTAAAGCCAGGAGCCTGGAGCTTCTTGCAGGTCTCCCAGGAGGGTGCGGGAATCAAAGAGCTTGAGCCATCTTTCCCAGCTTTCCCAGGCACTTTAGCAGGGAGCTAGATCAGGAGCAGAGGAACCAGGACTCAAGCCTGTAGCCCATATGGAATGCTGGTTCCACAAGCAGAGACGACTCTCCCCAGCACCAGCCTCCAAAATACTGCCTTTTTACTCTTTATACAGTGAACTCTTATTTAGTGCAACATTCAGCCTTTAGTTACCAATGGTAATTAAAATTTTGTAATCTCAAAAATACAATAAAAATCAATAATTATAAAAGCCTATGTGGCCATGAGGCTTATAGCTGAGAAACTACCCATCTCTCAGGAACAAACCGGGATTCAACAAAATTATGGCTCTAAGTGGATCTATCCTTTGTGTTTATTCTCTTCTTTCTTCTTTTTACAAATTGTTCAAGTTACTAAAAGCTTTGTATTTTTTTTTTGAGTTAACATTTGGGGAACAAGCGGTATACTGCATAGATTTTTTTTTTAATTAACACGGGGCTTGACATGATATGCAAATGGAGTCATAAGATTTATTAGGTATAAGAATTAGGAGATGAACTTAATCCTCCCTAAATTTAATTTTCTACATTTCAACTTTGTTGAAGACAGACCTGTATTTTGCACATCATGTTCCAGGCACAAAACCCAAACCAGAAGACAAGTAGATAAATTTGTGTTGAGTCCTGTCATATGTCGATTTTCAAATGTTTTATACATATTGATCTAATCTTTGTAATATCTCTGAAATAAACACTATCACATAATGTGTAAAATTTGTGTTTTTAATAATTGTGTTAAAATAAAATAAAAACTAAGATTGTCCTCAAAAGCAAGAAATAATATCATACTATTTTAAACATTGGTGAACTAAGGCAAAAAACTGCCACACTGTGAGTGATAAACCTAGGATTTTAACTTTAATTTAATTTTCAATTTATTTTAACTTTTAATTTAAAAATTTAAAATTTAACTTTTAGTTTAATCCAAACGTGTTTTCCTCTTATTCTCATTTTACATATAAAATGATGTTGCATTTTTAAATATGAAAAGGAATATACGTAAAGCATATCAAGGTCAAAAAACTACAGTTATGTACCTTAATGCAAGCTCAGTCACTTAGCATGAGAGATTCTTGAATCTTGACTATCCTGTATATTGGAAATATGTCTTCTAGCTCATGAAATCCTAAAATCCACTCCCAATTCAGTCCTTGTCACCCACTATAAATCTATTACCTCCATTATGATGGTAGAACTGAAAACACTTTGGTCATATATCCATCCTTCCAGGCATGGCTCTGTCTCCAGCTGGATGTTATTGATGTCTGACACATTGAGATGTAAGAGTTGCCACTGTGTCTGGCGGAACCGATGGCATTTCTCTGGTTTCTGACTTGGGTCCATTGGGATGGATACTCTCAGTAGGGCTTCAGTGGTAAGGTTTGCAGACATGCTGGCTTCAGATGTGAGGTTGTCAAGGAGTTGTACGTAGCAACGGTGAGATGGGATTGCGGCTGTAAAATTCTCCATGAAGTCAGGAGAAGATGTCATAAAAATTAAAAGCAAAGACACGATCACATTCGAAATCTGAAACCTCCCACTGTCGCCGACGTACTGTAGAAGTTCTTCGAAGGCCATGGTTTAGGACACAAAGTGTCAGCTGTAGAATATCAGATTTTTCAGGACAGAAATAGTATTTTCACAAAATCATTAGTGAAGTGTATATATGAAAGTATATTTCTAAATTAGGAAGTGGAAGAATTAAAGCAAATGTGTATTTTGTTTTACATTACAAAGTTTTCTTTCCCTGTCTTCCTATGAAGTTCTCCAAACACTATATTACTCATTTCAGTAGAGGCAACGTGTTCTGTTCAATAACGACAGCAATTGTACAGGGGACACGTTCTTGAGGAAGCATTGCAATTGCATTTACACAATTCCTTGTGACTGTAGTTAACATACAATGCAATGGATTCTGCACAACTCCAAGGAAATGATCTTTCATTTAATATTAATAGACAGATAAAATTGCTTACATTTAAGGTTTACAACACACTGTACGTTACAAACCTAGAATTCATGCATCTTAGAACGGCAGATGTCTAGCTTGATCCATAGCTTCTCATAGCAATACCTTCAGACTCTGTTACACGCTATTCTACTCGTTGCTCCCATAACTTTAATTCTTTTAGTTTCCACATGAGTGTGTGATTATAAGCTATTTCTTTAAGTGTCCTGGTTATTTCACTGAGTATAATGTCATTGGGCTTATCAATGTTGTTGTAAGTGATCAAATAATACATAATACATATCTCATTGCATATATATATGCATATATGTACACATATCTCCCACCTTACTCATCTATTCATTTGCTCAAGTGCCTAACATCTTCAATCATAAGAGAAGAACTCCAAACCTTAATTAGATATCACCTCATATCTGCAAATTACCAAAAAATGAAAAGATAACAAGTATTGGTGACAGTATGGAGAAAAGAAAAACTTACGTGTTATTGGGAACATAATATAGTGAAGCCTTATTTCTTTAATGGAGAGTCTCTTCAAAAATTACAAATAAAAATTACTGCAATATGATTCAGTAATCCCACCCCCAGGTATATGATCAAAATAAATGAAATCAAAATCTCAAAGAAATATCTTCACCCAGGCTCATTGCAGCACCATTGAAAATAGGCAAGATTTGGAAATGTCTTAGACATCAGCTGATCTACAATCAACCTGTTCACCCTCAGGAAATAAAATTTAATGAAGATTACTTTCTGGTAACCTTACATATGACTAGATATGTATGTATTATTGTATTTATATATTCACATATATTTTTATGTTGTATTATAAAAATATGATTATGTGTCTCAAAAAAGCAAATTATCACAACATTCAACCTCTTCACATTTTTCCTCTAAATCATACTCTTTATGATTTAAATCTTCAATGAATATTCTCATGACACCTGTCAATTTGTGCTAGTAATTAATAAAGATGAGATAGAAACTCACCTCTGTATAATTTCTACTCAGCGTGTTCAGAAAAAATAAGCAAACATGCACAATCTAGAATCTCAGACATCTGGGTTGAAGTCAGAGTTCTTTGAGCAAACAGGGCGATGTTAATGGTTTACTTAAAACATTCGTCCCCATGTACTGAGTATTCAAATACCTGATACAGAGCTTCACCCATTCGCTTTTGCATATTCATCTTTATGATGCTCATTTTTGTCATAAAAGAGAAAATGCTGACATCCAGGCTTTGTTAAAGAAATTAACCAGAATCTAATCCCAATGCATCCTTAAAAAAGCATCAACATTGGAAGTGCAACAATGTTAAGTTTTCCCTTCTCTGCTTGTCTGCTTTTATTTGTACTCTGCACAGTATAAACCATGCAGATATATTATATATAAAGTATGTTTATATTTGAGGTATATATATAATCTTAGCATATATGTGCATAAATTGCTTTCTCATCATCACTGCTTTAACACAAATTCCAACACATCTGCCTGGAAAAGCTAATATACTTGGATAATTGTCCCAGATAACAATGCTTATCAATGACACCATGGGCATTCAATTGAAACTCAATCAGTTTTATACTCTAATCTTTAACTTAAAGCAGAAAATAATTTATCTGACCGAGTTAATCGTCTTTCCATATTCAACGTTGCAGAAAGTAAACATTGAGTGGACTTTGGAAGTCATTGTGGCATCGCCATGTAGTAAGTTAGACCTGACATGAACTCAAGGTCATAGTGATGAGCAGCAGGGGCAGCGACAGCAACAGACGGAACAGCACCATGTCTCAGCAAATGCCACATGCACTGAAGTTCTGTTGGTCAGAGGCAGAAGCATAGTACAATTCAAAAACAAAAACCAAGGGAAGCAAGTCCTGCCTCCTCAATTAAAGAAACTGCAGCCACGAGACAAAAGTTAAAGACTCAGAAATGAGAACGATCCATTGGGTATAAATTGCTTATAATCCATTGTGAAACCAGTTAACCACAATGATAATATTAAATAAAATAGAAATCTAAATTATCTTCTCATCTTCATTGGAGCTCATAATTCTTCACTCCCTCTTCATTGAATTACCCTTACGATTTTAGCCATTTAAAGCATGATTAAATGGAATATTTTTTTATATTTCTTTTTCCAAGAAAGTAGAAAATAAAGCTTAAAACTATGGATTATATGATTTTAACCAAATCACTGTGCCAAACACCTTCAAGAAAATTAAGAGGCTATTCCCGCTGCCCAGTGCCCTCTTATTACTCTGATATTATTGCCCACAATAACTCAAAATGCATATCCAAAAAGCAATGAAGTTTGAAGCCATTGGAACAAGCAGGCATAGTTTTGTGGGTGGGCTATTCATGCTGACAAAGAATTTTCTCCCCAGTGGAAGTGAAAAGCACGATTCTTTGCCCTGAAGCCAAAGGCACAGAGGTTCCTGTAAAACCATACCTAAAGATGTGGAGTAGAGTCAGCTTCCTGCCTGGACTTCCGCTCATGGAACACCTTCACTAAGCTGTGCCTGAGATTCTTATCACAATAAGAAATGAAAACCACAGCATAGACAAGAGAGAGACGCGCAGAGATTATAGTCTGCCTGCGAGGAGCCGACGCACCTGCACTCATCAGGCAGACTGCTTAGGTGGCCACTCAGCGACTGTATGAAACTGAATGTGCACTCTCTGAAGAGTGAGAAATGTCATTGATTTATAATTTAGAAGAATCTTATGCTTTCCTGAACAAAACCTATCAAGATTCTCAAGATGGAAATCTTCAAGAAAGATTTATACATGGTTCTTGTGGGAGACCGTTAAACATAATTATCGTGTAGACGCAAATGTCTAAAAGCAAAGATCACTCATAATAATGACTGAATATTTTCCAGGAGCAGTAATGGATAATAAACCATGTATCTAGAAAGCTTTAAGACTGCATAGAGAAAATGCAGCACTCACACAAACACATACACACACTGAGCACATTTTTTTCAAACTCAGAAAATAAAAGGTAAAGACAAAATATTTAATAAAGGTGAAGTGAGGTTATATGGAAGTATTCAAGGATCAAAAATGCAATGGATTTCTTACTTGTAATTACACAATCATAACAAAGCACTGGAATAAAATATTTGAAGTATAAAAGGAAAATCTGGGCCCCGCACAGTAGCCCAGCAGCTAAAGTCTTCACCTTGCACGCTCCAGGACTCATATGGGCACCGTTTCTATCCTGGCCCATCCAGCTGCCTGCTTGTGACCTGGGAAAACAGTAGAGGATGGCCTAAAACGTTGGAACCCTGCACCCACGTGGCCGACCCGGAAGAGGTTCCAGGCTCCTGGCTTCAGATGAGCACAGCTCTGGCCACTGCAGCCACTTGGGGAGTTATTCAATAGACAGAAAATCTTCCTCTTTGTCTCCCCTCCTCTCTGTATATCTAACTTTCCAAAACTAAAATAGGTCTTTGAAAAAAAAAAAAGAAGGAAAATCTGTTTACCTTGATTTTTCCATCCAGGGAAATTAACTGTTGCTGGAAATAATAGTGAGTCATTTTAAGAATGCTGATGTGAGGGGCTCTTTAGTTAAACACCCCAGTGAAACAAAGTTGCTTTTCAAAGAACTATTCCACCTGGGACTGTGCTAGAGCAGGTTAGGCAGTTTGCGATGCCAGCACCCCATATGAACACATGTTTGTGTCCTAGCTGCTCTGCTTTCCATCCAGTTCTTGCTAAGGGGCTGAGAAAGCACGAGAAGATGACCCAAGCAGTGAGCCCCGCTCCTGTGTGGGAGAGCTGGGTGAAACACTGGCTCCTACTTGCAGCCTGACCCAGTGCTGGCTGTTACAGGCATCTCAGGTTGTAAATCAGCATATGAAAGACTTCTCTGTCTCTCTCCCTCCCTCTCTGTAACACTTGAAATAAATAAATAGATCTTAAAACCCAAACAAATATTTTAAAATGTATAAAAAATGAAAAAAGAGCATTATTCAAAAAATCTGCTAATTTTTAACAAAATATTATGCATAGGAATTAACCTTCAAACTTTTCCTCTTCTCTTTCCTGCTAGGTGAATTTTCAGGCATATTTGTTTTGTCTCTCCTGCTCTTATGAGAAGGCTATAGTATTCTCCTTGAGTGGATTGGTCATCAACACTTCACATTCTTCATTAATCAAGCATTACAGAGGCTAAATTCCAAGTGAAAGACTTTCCAATAGTGCTGTGCTTTCCTTCCTATATCCATGCTCCACTGACAGGGCAGAGGTTCCATCGCAGGGATAGCTTGGTGAGAGAATGCTGTGGACCTTGACACCCCATCCCTGCTCGTTCATTGGGTAGGCAGTTCCCTCCATGGCACACACCCCGAGAATATCAGGGACTGTCATTTTCCCAGTTGTGGCTTTCTTCTTGAGTTTTTTAAAATCAGCATTGTTTTTTTAATTTTATTATTATTATTATCATTTTATGATACAGTTTCATAGGCACTGGGATTTCCCTTATCCCCACCCCAATTTTGTCCCCCCAACTAGTTCTTCTATTTCATTACTAAAGTATAGTTTTCCATACACAGTCATATGTTCATCACTGTGGGCATGGACAATGGCAGAGAGTCCA